CCATGTACGTGGTTTAAGTGAACATCTATTGTAGGTCTCACAGCATAGAATGTTTTACAAAGCACATGGTTAAAGAGAACGTCAATTGTAGGTTTCACAGCATAGCATGTTTTACAAAGCACATGGTTAAAGAGAACGTCTATTGTAGGTTTCACAGCATAGAATGGTTTACAAAGCACATGGTTTAAGAGAACATCAATTGTAGGTTTCACACCATAGAATGTTTTACAAAGCACATGGTTAAAGTGAACATCCATTGTAGGTTTCACAGCATAGAATAGTTTACCAAGCACATGGTTTAAGAGAACGTCAATTGTAGGTTTCACAGCATAGAATGTTTTACAAAGCACATGGTTTAAGAAAACATCTATTGTAGGTCTCACAGCATAGAATGGTTTACCAAGCACATGGTTAAAGAGAACATCTATTGTAGGTTTCACAGCATAGTATGTTTTACAAAGCACTTGGTTTAATAAAACATCTATTGTAGGTTTCACAGCATAGAATGGTTTACCAAGCACATGGTTTAAGAAAACATCTATTGCAGGTCTCACAGCATAGAATGTTTCACAAAGCACATGGTTAAAGAGAACATCTATTAATTTTGGATTAAAATCTGTTCATATTAATTCTCTTAATTAGCACAATAATTAATAATTTTTTGGTTCTAATCACATTTCAATGAAACTTGGTACATAGATATTACATTACGCAGATCTTATTACTTTAACGTGTCTCCAATACTCTCAGCACATGGGAGTTCTTTCTAAGCTTTCTTTGATTGATTTATAATGCTTATTTTTTTTTATTAATATCACCAGTTTTTTCAATTGTTTTTTTTTTAAACCATTGTGGTGCTTCCGATACTAGTTTGTTGATAGTTGATAGAAAGAATTTTTTGTGATGTTGATTGGTACACTCAGAAACACAATATCACATGTGCAATTTACGTTACACCCCAAAACGGCATGCGTGCGCATGTGAAACACCATATCTTCGACTTCTGAGGAAGTCGTCTACTAGTATCCGTGCACGCTTCCACACTGATTGGGTCGCTGTAGTAGAGCATACAACAACTCCAATTTGGTTCGCTGTCTACGACATGCACTAATAAAACTCTGCATTCTGTAATGTCGTTATATACTGTTTCTGTGCATCCAATTAAATCGGTCCGTCTTTGCTCGCTTTTTAGTGCACATCGCTTCATAAATTTGAACGA